AGAATTTTTTTTTTTGCAACACAAACTCTATCCTGTAATCATCTGGCATTAAAGGGACAAAGTAGTTTAGCCAAAAATGAAAATTCTTATTATTTATTCATCCTCAATTTATGATGTTTTGTTTGTCACAATATTGTCATTCACCTTTATTAAACTAAAACAGCAGCCATGACATAAAAAATACCCCCTTTTTTAACAGAAGAACATAACAGAAGTTAATATGGGTCATATGACAAGAAGGTGAATAAATAACAACATTTTTCTTTTTGGGTGAACTATGCCTTTAATAGTGAAGATGTTATGACTTCATTAATCTGTCAAGCTATTCGAGTCCATTTGTTCTCCTCTGTGAGACAAATATCCCTGCTCTCGTGTTTATTTAGCTCCATGGGTACAGCAATTTCCTTGCTTATCAATGTCCAAAAAGGCAGTTTTCCATCTTCGCTTGCAATATTTGCAAAGCAAACACAAAACCCAACATGTCAGGATATCAGAATCCAAACTGCAAAACCAAAACACATTCCCTGTTCGCTCAAAGAAACACGTGCCAAAGCAATCAGTAAAAAATGCTAAAGACAACAGAAAAGCAACATGTGGCTAGATAACATCAGGGAATATTTAAACAGAATACGAACTCTTAAAATCGACCGCAGAGGGAGTCCAATGAATTAATACATGCCTTTATTGTTTTTCACAAAATACTAATTTTGGTTTGTTCTGTGTGCTTCTATGAATCCTGAAAAAAGTGAAGAATAAAGAGTGACTGCCAAGCTTTGTTACATACGTCACCGCAACCGTGTCCAGCGGTTGACTTCGACACACTCATTAAGTCTCATTTCAGATCTTGTTATGCTCCAGCCAAACTGGTCACTGAAAGGTTCGCAAACAAAGAGACAAGGTGTGACATTGAATTATGTTTGAAAACGATTCCAAAAACTTGAGTAACTAATGACCTAACTTAGAGCACCTTGATGTATTTTGTTTTTCCACATTACAAAGACATTTTTTGCGACTAATTTGACAGGTTTTCTCATTAAAAACTGTATCAGAGATGATGGGAAATGATGTAGAGATCTAGTTTTTTGACTTCATCATGTTTGACTGTGTGTATGTTTTATAGCCTGGCACAGTGAATCCCTCTAGCTGACCACAAATACGCATCTCTGAGCAGTTCCAACATCCCTTAAATGATATAAAAGCACAACTGGTTTTTAAACTTTTGTTGCACTCAATGAAAAAAGAGATGCCTAAAATTGTTATCCTTAATATATATAGGTAACAATTTAAGGTGTTTGTTAGTTTTAGCCTAGAATAAATGTTTAAAACTCCAAAACACATATTAATTTTTAATCAAACATATACATCGGTCCCAAGAATTGCTTGAACATTCAAGCCAGACCTAAAACAATGTATAAACGTGTTTTGCAGTCATGTTTTAGCAGCCTTTAATTCAGTCTTCAGTGTCACATGATTCTTCAGAAATCATTCTAATATGCTGATTTGCTTAAGAAACATTTGTTGAAAAATTTTATGGAAAGTGTGATGCATTTTTTTCAGGATTCTTTGATGAATAGAAAGTTCAAAAGAACAGGATTTATTTGAAATAGAAAATTGTGTAACATTATAAACGTCTTTACTCTCTCTTTTGATTTAATGCATCCTAGTGGAATACGTTTTTCTTATTTGAAAAAAAAAACCCATCTTAAAAGCGACCTTAAATTTTGAATGATAGCATATAACAAAAAACGAACTAAATAGCAGGTATATAAGCAAAATATAAGCATCAAGCAAAAAATATTCACAAATAAGTTTCAACCACTACAAATCACTGTAAAATCAGTTAATTAAAAGTCATTGTAAAAATAGCACAGGAAACTAAAGATAGTTCAGAGAAAAGCATCATTTGTTGGTTGATTCCACTTAGTATGTATCTAATGCAATGACATTCACACATTTTTAAGTATGCCTTGAGTGCCCCAAACTTTCTGGAGCCATTGTATGAATATATTCTGTGATATTAATACAAATGTGGTTAGAAAAGGTACTGCTTCAAACCATTAATGCAGCCCAGATTTCTGTAGCGGAGGCCATGCAATATTAATTCTGTTAGCACTCAGGTAGAGTACGGTTCTGACCTCAGAGCGAGATCCAGAGGCTGAGCAGAGCTTAACAAAGAAAACACATGGCACTTCACAATCCTTCAAGAAAGGAGGCCTGTCTGAGCCATACTAAATACTGCATTTACATAGCATTAACTTAAAATAGTTAAAGGGATAATTTCCCTCAAATCGAAAACTCACCCTCATGTCATTCTGACCCTGCATTATATGTTTTTACGTGAAGAAACAAAATGAATATGTTGAATGCATGGTGATTTATATGGCCAATCTCCAAAAAAGAACAAAAAATAGGCAAAGTAACTTGTGCACTATCCTCCAAGTCTTCTGAAATCATATGATAGCTCTGTACAAGGAGATACCATAATAAGTGGTCATGTAGAAGTAGACCACAATAATCAATAATAATAATAATACTCCCCTCAAATCTCATTCATATTCATTTTCAATTTAAAAAATGAGATGCATCACGACTTTGATGGCAAATGCTATTGGTTCTTGCATTCCATGCTATCAACTAGACTGCAAGTTACATTTGAGAGCTATGGAAATTTGAAACAAGTCATCTGGACTAGTTTTATGGTGCCTTTTAGAGGAAAAACAAACCACTTGCATGGCAAAGAGCAGCCCAGACATTCTGCCTAACACCTCCTTTTGTGTTGAATGCAAGAAAGAAAATATTTCGAGGCTGAAACAACATCGGTAAACAATGAGTAAACAATGCTCTGGTGAACTATTCCTTTTTCTAAACACTCTTTGATGTAACCAATAGCTGATGTCTCTGCAGCTGCAATAGCAACATGTCATTAAAAACTCCAGTGGCCATCGGCCTAATGTGGTGTCATATGAAGTCTATTTGTTATGTAATCACACCACTTAATTTAGCAGGAAATCAATTCAGGCAGCTGTGACAAATGACATTGGCATCAAGGCCCACAGCAGAGAAGATCAATATGATCATTGTTTGGAGTATTGATTTCTGACCTCCACTAACCTGTGTTTAAGCAGCAGGGCTCGCAGCACGTTGGCTCGGTCTTCGGCTCTGATCTGGTCTGAGATTATCATGGTTTCCACCAGCAAGTGGGCGATGCCAGGAAGTGTGGTTTGATCCAGATCTAGCATTATGGCACCTGGGTAACAGAACACCATGTTTGTGATATAGGCATATATGAGGTATACAGTAGTACCCCTGTCAGCTTATATAACAGAATAATGTAAAATCAGCCAAACTGTGGGATCATTCTAAAGACATATTCGAATGCCACAATTCAAATAATCTCTAATGTGGCTAAATGTTCTGACAGAGTATAAATATGTTTTTTTAGGCATTCCATTATAGTAGCTAGGGCTGGACAATAATTCAATATCAATATGTATCGCGATATAATTTTTTTCAATAACGGTGATATGATTTTTAAACACATTTCCGATATTTCGATATACATTACCAGTTTCCCATACATTTATTTATTTGTGCCGTTTGACTTCGTTGAATAAACATGAGCACTGCACGTTTCAAAATCATAAGGTGACGTGACATAAGGTGACGTGACGTGGCCAAGTATGGTGACCCATACTCGGAATTAGTGCTCTGCATTTACCCATCCAAAGTGCACACACACAGCAGTGAACACACACACGGAGCAGTGGGCAGCCATTTATGCTGCGGCGCCCGGGGAGCAGTTGGG